TTTGTCGCCGCGTGCCCAAATGCAATGATAATACAATGCACGTGTGCCCCCCATGTGCCCCACCCTGTGCGTGCATGCATGCATGACCCCTGCTCTTCCCCAGCCCCGTGCATGAGTGTGTGACCCCCACATGCACCCCCATGGATGCGCACCCGACTCCTGTGCATGTGTACGTGACCCCGCGCTCCCCTGCCCCGCGCATGAGTGTGTGACCCCTGAATGCACCCCCATGGATGCACACGCAGTCTCCCGTGCATGTGTGCATGCCCCCATGCCCCCCACCCATATGAATGCATCTCCTGCATGCACCCTGCCCTCCGTGCATACAGGGCATCTCCACTGCGCATAGGCAGTGGAGCTGAGCTGGGGAGATGGCTCACACGCCCACAGAGAGGGCTGTGTGCCACCTGTCCTGTGGCATACGTGCTATAGGTTCGCCATTATGGTTCTAGGATTTTTCATACTGCTCCCCATCAATGGTAGCACATCTATGCCCCCTTTAAGGCTCTCTCCTTTAGCTTGTTTCTTATAGAGTGCTTCTGTCTTCTCTGCTCCCTTAGGACAAGGACATTTCTGTGAAATAATGTTGCTTCCTTAATAAACTTGACTTGATCTTTTGGAGTTCAAGCGTTTGTCTTAACGAGCTGGGCTCAACTCAGATGGATTTGCTCTGCTAGATGCCTGGAATCACAGGATTCCAGGCAGGAGTCCAAAATTCTCCCCATGGCCAAGTCATAATAATATTTGCTTGATTTTGACTACTGTGGGAATACAACCATTGTGCTTTAGTCAACAAACCACGACGTGGCATGAAGTGTGAACCAGCCTCTACTTAGATTGACTTTCCCAGATTACATGCAGGGAAGGCTTGCCAGATTTCTGTGAAAATGCCAAGAACTGGATAGAAAATCAGGTGGAAAAACGGCTGATGACCTCTTTCTATTGGTCCACCATAAAAAGTGTCCTCACATACTACATTATAGAATGATATGCTGGTTTAACAGCTGCAGACAGGAAGGCACTACAGAGAGTGATCAATTCGGCCCAAGAAAGCATTGGTTGCCCTCTGACACCACTGGGTGACATCGGCAGATCTCGTTGCTTTAGCAGAGTAAGGAAGATACTCAGAGATGATTCACACCCTGGTCAGTGTCTCTTTGCACTTCTACCATCGGGCAGAAGACATCAAAGNAAAGAAAAATAAAGTAACGAAAGAAAAGTTTCCTATCTATTTTGGAAAGGGAGGTGAATGGAGGGAGGAAGAATGGAGGGAGGAAGGAGGAACATGAATGGAAGAAGGAAGGAAGGAAATGAAGGAAGGAGAGGGAAGGAAGGAAGGAGAGGGAAGGAAGGAGAGGGGGAGGGGGAGGAAGAAGAGGGAAGAGAGAGGGAGGGAGGAGAGAGGGAGGGAGGAAGGAAGGAGGAACATGAATGGAAGAAGGAAGGAAGGAGAGGGGGGAGGAAGAAGGGAGGGAGGGAGGAAGGAAGGAGGAACTTGAATGGAAGTAGGAAGGAAGGAAAGGAAGGAAGAAGAGGGAAGGAAAGAAGGAGAGGGAGGGAGGAAGGAATACTTTCATGATGACATTTTGAATTTGGGTGTGATTCTGATCCCGAGAATTTCCATCCTAAAAACCCTTCAATACCCACAATAAAACCTGATAGTCAACATTCATGACATCCTAGAGATGTGACTCTTAGAGAATATTGGATGCTTAAGCAATTTTAAGACGAAGGTAAGATTGAAGCAATGGATTTCTTGATCTGCAGCTCTCAAGGTTATAGCTCCCGAAATTAACTGGCCCTTTCTCCAATGCTACTCATGCCTTAGCCATGCATTTTCTCACACTTTCAGGATTTAAGAGTAATGGGGCTCCTGATTGCTCCCATTTTTCCCTCACCTGGCAGCTTTTTCAGATGCGCTGGGATTATTCAGTGGAGGCCCCAGGAACCCCAGTTCCTACATTACAAGAAGCCCCAAAGAACACACCTGTGCTTAACTGGTGTGTTATGCAAAAGTAGCCACTGGTTTGCAATTAGCCCATGAATATGCATATTGAGGTGCTACAGCCAAGATGGATTTGCTCAGGCTAATCCCGTTGCATAAACATTTTTACTCATTGCTTTCTCTGTAACCATGATTTAGGGTGAAGATGGTCCCAGGGGACCCCCAGGACAAGTTGGAGAGAAGGGAGAAATTGTGAGTATCCCCCCCCCCCCGGAAGCATTGCATTAAATCTTTGAAAAGAGGAGCGCCGTATCAAAAGGGCTAATGGCACTCTACAGGGGGTCCTTGAGTTGACCCAAAAAGGAGTGACACAGACTGAGGGGAGGGAAGGAACAGGGGCAAAGTTCAGAAGAAAAATAAGCAAAGCAAAGGCTTGACTGCAAACAAATCTTGCCTAATGAAGCTATTAATAAATCACTGGTTTGTGTATTAAAACATTGGCTCGATTATTATGAATCAATTAAGGCATCATTAGGAAACTTGACAAGGAGCTTAAGACCCGGTTCCAAAGTTCTGATGCTCCACATTCACATGACTGAAATTTGGGCTCTTAGCAACATGGGCTGCTGTGGGATCGTTTACAATGTCGCACAGTCTTGAGGCTGCATTTTAGGTCCATTTTAAGAAAAAATGACACACTTCAATTTTTGGCAAAACTGTTCCTATGCACAGGTAAGCAAACCATTGGTTCGCTTAATGACCACTTAACAACCACAGTGGCTGCTTTGTGACTATTGCATTTGTTTAACTACCAACTGCAAAAACGGTCATCAAGTCAAGTTACTCACGTGGTAACTCTTACGTCAAGGACGACCTGTGTATATTTAATGCATTTGTTCCTTCTCTATTCCTGGGGGAGAACTGAATAACTCTCACCACTTGGTGGATTAATATGTGCGGGCATTAGATACGCAAATTCTACTTCTTCCTCCTTTCAAGGAACTCGAAGCAAAGGAGGAGGAAGTAAAATTGGTGCATCTCATTGTTGTTGTTAGTTGCGAAGTTGTGTCCGACCCATCGCGACCCCATGGACAACATTCCTCCAGGTCTTCCTGTCCTCTACCACCCTCTGGAGTCCATTGAAGCTCACACCGACTGATTTGGTGACTCCATCCAGCCATCATTCTCTGTCATCCCCTTCTTCTTTTGCCCTCAATTGTTCCCAGCATTAGGCTCTTCTCCAGGGAGTCCTTCCTTCTCATTA